GGGGAAAAACCTTTGGGATTGGTGCTGCTGGACTGGTGGTGGGATGGCATCTGCTAAACCTCTCCCTGTCCCCTGGGGTCTTGTCCCCTGGGGGCTTGGGGGCTTCGGGGAGGAAGGGGGACAGTTGAGGTGCTGGAACACAACTGGGCTCACTGGGAGCAACTGCTGGGGAGGAAGGAGGATGTTCCCATCCTGACCCTGTCCCTACAACCACTCACATCACCCTAGAGCAGTGCATCCCTCAGTGTCTCAGCCGAGGCTGAGAACGTTCCACATCATGGAGTTAATTTTCCCTTCCTGCCAGCTCTTCCCTATTAACGCCGGGATCTTGTGGGTGGTGCAAAACCCGGTAATTATCCGCTTTTTACTATAAAAGATGGAATTCTCCTCCCCAGCCAGTGCGGAGACTACTCAGAGAGAATCCCTGGGAATGCTGGGGTTAAGTTTCCATGGGTGAGATCCCTCTCCCTGAGGGCAGGAGGAGCAGGAACTGGGATTTGCCAGCTCTGGATGAATTGGGACACTGGGGATAAGGTGGACAGGCAGGTCTGGCTGCCCTGCCCAGCGTGACAGAGTGACACAAACCAAGCCACCAGGTGGAGTTGAATCCAGTGAGGAATCAACACTTCCAGGCCACGGAGAGGCTGCCACGGACTTTTTGCCTGCTTGGGAGCCATCCCAAGGTCTGCAGGGCTCAAGATCCCACCAGGAGAAGGTGCCCCTTGCTCAGATCCTAGGGGGAGAATGTGCCCCTGCTCCTGCGTGGCAGTTAAATACATATAAATATATATATTCTGTATATTTAGCATCCCTGCTCCGGGTAACCGTGGCAACGGGGTTTATTTTGCTTAAACCTGGCCCGGCATGTGATGCAGTTGGGAAGGAACAGCCGAGGGCAGAGGGAGGGATGAAGTTCTCCGTGCTGGGAGCTGGGGAGGAGCCGTGGCACAGGATGTGGCACGGGATGCTCTCGGGGGGCCTCGCTCTGTCCCTCCAAACAGCCCCACTGGGGCATTCCCATGGCCTGCCAGGGCTCTGTCCCATTCCCTTCGCTCCAGCTGGGGATGGCAAGTTTTGGGTTTAGGGGCGGGGGTCCAACTCCCTGTTCTCTGCTGCTTTCCCAGGACACCCTGTCTTGTGCAGGGTCTGGTTTGCCAAATCCGGGCACTGGCGGGAAGAGGGGGTGGTTTTCCCGATGTCTGGAGCCGTGTGCCCTCACCTGGAGGCTGGGAAGCCTCGTGCCACCCCCAGGCAGAGAAGGGACCCCCGTTACCTCCACCACAGCGTGCTTCCAGCCCCTCTGTCCCATCCCAGGCTCCCTGCAGTGCCCGGAAAGCGCCAGCTCAGGCCCAAATTCCCCGTGTTTCACTGGAAGAACTGCGCTCCTCGTGCTCTGCTGACGCCG